GGCAAAGGGTACCACAAAGATGGTAGCAGCTATCAGCCCCAGGAGATGCTGCAGTATCAGGGCAGGTCACATGGGTGACAAGATGTCAGTGCCAAGGAGCGGAGATATAAGGCTCTGTCCACCGGAAGAAAAGCACAACGTTGGGTGGTGCAAATCCTGACCCTTATGAATTGTAGGTCCTAAACAGGGAGCAGGTGGGATTTTGTGAAGTTCATGTAGAGGCCTAGAGAGGCCAAGAGTCGGAGAGTGGTGGAAATGTCCTGGTGAAGTTGTTTGGGGATTGGGAGACGATCGGCCATTTGTCAATGTAGGGGAAAACAGTGATTCCCTGTTGTCTGAGGGCCACAGCAACCACTGCCATACACTTCATGAATACGCTTGGTGCCCTGGAAAGATCGAAGGGGAGTACCTAATAATGGTTGTGGTCGGACCCCACCGTGAACCTCAGTAAGAGATGATGTTGTGGTTGAATAGTGATGTGGAAGTAATCATCCTGGAGTTCTAGAGGTGCTAGCCAAGCATTCTTGGTGATCAGTGGAAGAATGGTTTACAGGGTGATCATCTGAAATTTCTTGCAAGGAATGTAACGGCTGAGTTGTCACAGGTCCATTATAGTCCTCCATCTCACTTTGGTACTATGAAGAAGCAGGAGTAGAATCCCTGGTGATGTTGAGATGTGGGGACAAGTTCTATGGCTCCCTTGGCAAAGAGGGCTTGGACCTCATTGTGCAGAAAGCGGGATGGGGTTATCGCCACAAAATGAGGGGCCCATGGGGTTGAAAGAAACTCGATGGTGTACCCTACCCAAATGATGGTGAGGACCCAGGCATTCATTGTGATAGATTTTTAGGCCAGAGGTGGGGTTATGGTTGGAGCAGGGGGAATCATGAGATAGAGGAGAGTCAAAGAGACTGTTTGGATTGAGGTGTCGACTTCTTAGAAGAAGACTGGGATGGAGACTGGGACCGATAGCATCACAGCTATGGGAATACCACGTGGAGAGGGTGAACTTGAATCCGACAAGTATCTCAGATGCTCTCTATAGTGCACCGTGTCGGAAGACGGGGCATATTGGGGGCAATGCCAGCTACGGGATTGAGAACCTTGCAGCTACGGGATGGTCAGGACCAAGGCGACAGATGAGGTGGTTCATGGTCCCGTGATGAAGGTCTATCCCAGGGTGCAGGATCTGATTCAAAGAAGTCTGATGGTAAACAGCTGTACAAGGAGGGTTAACAAGATGGAATGTGCACAACCTGTGCAGGGGGCACTTGAGTCAAGAGAGTAGCCATGGTCATTGGAGCTGAGGCCAGTGCTGGAGCAGGAGTGGTGACCGGAGGGTTGAGAGTCATAACCTCTGTGGTTGACACAGGGGCAGCAGGAGCGGCTGGGACAGTGGTAGGTGTCAAGGCCAATTGGTCCTTTGGCTTCTGGGATTTCTTCAGTTTCAACATGTTGGGAGACAGAACTGAGAGCTGCTTGGTCTGTTTTTCGGTCTTATGCTTTTTTTTGCCATCGGGGCTGAGGAAACTGCTGATTTGGCCGAATCATCCTTCTGAGATGGGGGAGGTGGTGAGACTCTAGGACAGGTGGTAACTGACCCTTCTATTTGCTATTATCACCTGTTTTCTTAGATCTGAATTGTGTGCTCTTTCTTGAATGCTTAGTGTCCGTGTAATTAGGGAAATTCTTCAATAAAAACTATTTAATTTACTCTTCAAATCTGGAGTCTTCCTATTGTACTGGACCTTGGTATAAACAGGTGTGCGATCCCTGGCACCCCTTTGGCCTCGTCTGCTTCATAGCTAATTTTCCCCAACATAGAGGCAGGCCATTGTCAGTAACATGATGGAAGCACTCTCTAGACTGGGGCCTCTGCCTGAAGGGCTGAGAAGGGGCTCATATTACACCCAATGACCAAGCAGTTTGTTTGTTCCTCTTGATTTGTTCTAAAGTCTCATCTGTTTTGGAGGATAAGAGAAGATTGCCTTTGAAAGGTAGGTCCTCTATCTTGGCACAAGTCTCAGAAGGTAAGGACCAAGCATGGATCCAAGCAAAATGTCTTAGAGTGATGGTGGAGGCCATGGAACATACTGAATGTGCCTTCCTGTATTCATCTGTTGCTTTGAGAGCCATGTAGCTTCAGTCTGCAGAACTCTAGCAGTTGTGCATCTTTCATCCAGAAGTAACACAGATGTGCATTCTAATCAAAAGAGCTGATGCGGACATTATGGCCCGATAGTTGGCAATCTTAAAATTAAGGGCACCAGCAGAATAAACCTTACACCCAAAGGTATCAATCTTCCAGCCCTTCTTTTCTACCGGAGCGGAATGAGAGCCATGGCGGTGTTTTGCCTGGGCCTCCTCTGTGACAAGTAAAGATGGAGGTGGATGATTGAAGAGAAAAACACTATCCATCTGGCGAACCCTATAGAGATTCTCCATCTTCCTTGCAGTGGCAGAGATGGTGGAGGGTTAAGGCAATGTTAAGGAAATCTTCTAGGATAGGGAAGGCCATAGTAGCAGGTGCATCAGAATACAATGCAGAGAGAATCTTATTTTTAATTTGGGTTTAGAGGCAAGAGGGTCACTCTCCAAGGATTTCACCATCTGGCGCATTTGCTCTGAGAAAAGGTACAAATCTTCATTGGGGGAGACAGCCGCAATATCCCCAACTGAATCTGGTGATGAGTCTGAGGGAAGTTCAGAGACCTGGTCAGAACGGGAGCCCTCCTCACTTTCTGCATCTGAGAAATGCTCCTGTGTCATTGGAGGAACTCCTGGGTGGTAGCATGGAGCTGAATGTTGAAATGGAGGTGGTGGAGGGATGTGCGAGGCTGGATGAGCTGAGGAGAAATGATTGCCCCAGTGGTGAGGATAAAGTGAAAAACCTGGCCAGGGAATGGGCTGGGGCGGTAGATTCCAAGGAGCAACCCACGAAGGCTGGGAATGCTTGTGAGGGAGCAGGCTGCTGGGTCTGCTGCATTGGAACTGGGTCTGCTACACTAGAACCATAGGTGGAGGAGTTGTGTGGGACCTCTCCTGAGGCACCTGATGGGGTGGATCTGGGGGAAGCTCACCTTTGGAACTGAAGTCTTCAGGTTCGTGGGTGTGTGAGGAGGGCGCAGGTGAAACCAGGGATGGCAGGTCCTCCAGTATGATCAGTTCCTCCATATCTGGATCTGATGGGAGTGTCTCCTTGTGCTTTGAGTGAGACAGAACTGAGTCCTTCCTAGAGTGTTTAGACTTTGTTCTTGCTTTCTTGGGAGGATGCTCCAAAGTGCTGCAGTGCAAAGGGGCTGAATCTGGGGATCAGGACTAATACCTATGAAGATCCGGGGTTGGAACCAATCGAGTGGAGACAACAGACTTGGAGTGGGTTCATGCAAGGCAGGGGGCTTTGCTGCTGGCTTTTCGGAACCCAACAAGGTATATTCCCAAAGGGTAGCCTTTAGTCTAGAAGCCTTATCTGAGCCTTCTGAGTAAATTGCTGCCAATGTCCGCAAAATTCAACATTGTGGGAATCACCTAAACAGACTATGCAAACTGTGTGCTTGTCACTTTGGGGCATTTCCATATACCACTGAAGGCACTTTTTAAACAGGAACTTCTGAGCCATATTGGAGCTCAGAATCCCAGAGTGCAGAGCGACAAAGAAAGTCAGTGAAGATCAGGAGCGAAGTTAGATGGATCCTCTCAGCTTGGCAACGAAAAGGAAAATGAGGGAAGACAGCACCTCTCCCCTTCGGCGCACACTGTTTTTGGCAGAAATTGTGATGTGGCCATGCTGGAGGGGAGGGGCACCCCTTAATCTCTCTAGAAGCTAGAAATCCTTGCTGTTGGCAGGCCTGTGTATGCGCAATGCCAATGTGGGATACCCAAAATCTCCTGGATATTCCAGGCCCCAGGAACATCAAACTCGCTGTGACCAGGGCCAGGGCATTTTCGGTGGTGGCTCCTACCTGGTGGAATGAGCTCCCAGAAGAGATCCGGGCCCTGCGGGACCTTGGGCAGTTCCACAGGGCCTGTAAAACAGAGCTCTTCTGCCAGGCTTTCGAGTAGGAGCCGCTGCCACCATTATTCCACCAACGCTTTTCCATCACCGCACAATGCGGATACTATCGGGGGGGTGAGACGCACCTGGCAGATGATAGGGTTGTGGGGACATACGGTCGTTGTATTATTATAACATCTGTAGAACACCATCTTGATTTTAGGACTTGGAGAGAGCAGTGGAGCACCGATATTTTATTAATTGTATTGTTGTATATTGCATTGTATTTTTATACTGTTCTTATTGTTTTTATTAGGCACTTGTGCCCCTGTTAGCTGCCCTGAGCCTCCGGGGAGGGCAGGATACAAATTTGAAGAATAAATAAATTAAAAAAAATAGAAGACCAAAGACGAGTCACTAATTACCAGATGCTGAGAATATAAATTAAGGGTAGCTATCAATGTCATGCTCTGCTTATGTACATCCAGAGGGTTGGATCCAGTGATTTGCACTTACAAGGTGTATGAATCTTACATTCTCTCCCTCTCCTCAACAGTCTCTTTTGACTCTTGGAAAGCTGGACTAATAACCATGCAGGTTGGGGAGTCTTCTCTAAGGAGAGAGAAAGATGCAAAATCACCCTTCATCCTTCTGCAAGCACTAGCTTGTAGGGGATTCTACCTCATTCTCCTTCCTTAGTGAAGTGCTCTGACCTGCATGGGTATTAGACCACATGGGTCCCACAGTCCCAGGAATCAACTTTCCTGGGGAATCACCTTTCCTGAGGCTGCTGGAAAGATCCTCAAATATCAGCCCTTCTCACTCAAATATCCTCAAATATCAGCCCATCCCAGAAATTAGGTCCTATCTGATGAAAACAGAATGCTGTTATAGACAGGACCTATGGTCCAATACAATAAGGCAATCCTTATGTCCTCATGCAATAGTAAGACTCAACTAATTAAAATAAAATAATAAGAATAATTACCCTGCTTTTATTACACACCTGTGGTGGCCCACTCAGCAGCAGCCTCCTTGGATGGAAGGTGTCCATCCTGCCTTCGTTCCTGTTGTTGTAGTCCATATGGATTGGTTTGGGGACTGTCCACTGGCGATAATACAGAGACTGCTCCGTGCAGGTCATCATCTTACTCATGAGTGGGCGAAATGAACTTGCCCACATCACAGAATGGTAAGGTAAGAGGGATGATGATTTAGGAAGTCCTGTGCTGTCAGCAGAGGTCACAATGTCATACACCAGTTTAGGCAGGTAAACAATAGGAGGCTGTTGGGACGCTTTTGTCATGGAGCACTGAGGGGCCTGCAGGACAAAGGAGCTGTGAGTAGGTGCAGATGAGGCAGAGGAAGATGAAAAAGGAGATGCTGATGAGGAAGTGATGGAAGCCTGGGCAGTTTTAGCATTTGACTTTGAATCTTTGTCCATTTTTGGTCTTTGCTTTTCAGGGTTATTCACATTCTCTTCTGTACTGCTGCTTAATACCTGATGGGTTGACTTTCCTGTGTCACCTGCAGTTACTGATGGAGGAGACTTTTCACTGCAGAATGCTGTGCCTATGAACAAAATAAAGGTGTTTTTGCTTTTTTTAAAGGCCAAGTTAAACCTTTGGTGACTAATGCAAGTTGCAATTACCCCTTCCCCAGTATCACCTGGGTTCACTAGTCATCAGCAATACAGTGGAAATGTAGGCACATTTTTGATACTGGCATTGATATTTCTACTTTATTTATTGCAGATAGCTACTAAATCCAGATGTTATTTAAGCACTCTATTGAAACCAACAAACCTGGGCCTTTCCTTAATCAAACAAAAAGTAAGGAACAATTCATGCAGCCACTTTAAATACAGTGAAATGCCAGTAGGTGAGATATAAATACCAAATCTGGATGTAACTCTTTGCTTCAATAGATGCTCAGATGCCAAATTACCACATGATCACACACATTCCAAAAATGGATTGAGAGGAGCCTGAAGAATGATAATCTAGGCATTTATTTAAATATAAATAAATAAAAATAAAATAAATTTTGGTAGAATAATAAAGAAGCTGATTCAGCAGAGATTCATTGTACGCCACTAACTCCATAACTGATATATCACCACACTAAAATGGTGCTTTGAATCAGTACTGAAGCAAACAAAACATGTATGGGGTACCAAACAACATTCTCTACATCTTCCCCAACCCATGGGCAAGCAGATCAAAGAGAAAGAAATAACAAGAACCCCATCAGGACACCCTGGAAGGGACAAGTACAAACACTCCTATCATAGGATGCTTCTCATAAAACGGTCATCTCTATGTAGAATGAAAATCTTTGAGTTGTGGGGTAGGGGAACCGCATGATACGGTATGAAATATGATCTTTTTTGTCATGAACATGCCCAAAAGATGACAAAAAACCTCCAGGTTACCCGGCCAAACTACCCTGGAGAAAAATTGCTTCCTGACCCCAAAGTGGCGATGAGCATTTCCCTGGGTGTGTAAGAAAGGGCCACAAGAACTAAGCACTGATACAACCCTTCCTGCCCTCTCTCTCATGATCTGCCGAAGTTCACAGAATCAGCATTGCTGTCAGATGGCCATCTAGCCTCTGTTTGAAAACCTCCAAAGAAGGAGAGCCCACCACCTCCCGGGGAAGCCTGTTCCTGCTCTAACTGTCAGGAAGTTCTTTCTAATGCTTAGCTGAAAATTCTTTTGATTTAATTTCAACCCCTTGGTCCCAGTCTGACCTTCTGGGGCAACAGGAAACAACTCCGCACTATCCTCTATATGACAACCCTTCAAGTACTTGAAGATGGTTATCATATCACCTCTCAGTCATCTCCTCTCCAGGCTAAACATACCCAGCTCCTTCAACCTTTCCTCAAAGGACTTGGTCTCCAGCCCCTTCACCATCTTCATTGCCCTCCTATGGACATGTTCCAGCTTGTCTATATCCTTCTTAAATTGTGGTGCCCAAAACTGAACACAATAGATGAGGTCTAACCAGAGCAGAGTAAAGCAATACCATCACTTTATGTGATCTGGATACTATACTTCTGTTGATACAGCCCTAAATTGCATTTGTCTTTTTAGCTACTGCATCACACTGCTGACTCATGTTCAGTGTATGGTCTACGAAGACGCCTAGATCTTTTTTGCACATACTACTGCCAAGACAAGTCTCCCCCATCCTATAATTATGCATTTGATTTTCCCTACCTAACTGCAGAACTTTAAATTTATTCCTATTGAAATTCATTTTGTTTGTTTTAGCCATTTCCCAACCTGTCAAGATCATCCTGTATCCTGACTTTGCCTTCTACCTTATTTGCTACCCCTCCCAATTTAATGTCATTGGAAATTTAATAAGCATTTCCTCTATTCCTTCATCCAAATCATTTATAAAGATGTTGAATTAACACAGGTCCCAGGGCAGATCCTTGAGGCACTCCACTTGTCACTACTCTCCAAGAGGATGAGGAGCCATTCACAAGCACTCTATGGGTGCAATCTGTCAACTAGTTACAGATCCACCTAACAGGATCCAAACCATATTTTACCAACTTGTCAACAAGAATATTATATGAAACTTTATCAAAAGCCTTACTGAAATCAAGATAAACTATGTCTACAGCCCGTTTGTGGGGAGGGCGGGGTATAAATATAATATAATAAAATAAATAAATAAATAATTTCCCTAATCCAGCAAGGTAGTAACTTTTTCAAAAAAAGAGATAAGATTAGTCTGACATGACTTGTTCCTGAGAAACCCATGCTGGCTCTTAGTAATCACAGCCATCCTTTCTAAGTGCTCAAGGACTTGTTGTTTATTTGTTCTAAAACTTTTCCAGATATAGGCGTCAAGCTGACAGGTTGGTAGTTACCCGGATCCTCCTTTTTCCCCTTCTTGAAGATGGGGATATTTGCCTGCCTCCAGTCTTCAGAGGCTCAGAAATTACATGTGTGAGTTCTTTTAGTACCCTTAGGTACTGTTCATCTGGCCCCAAGGACTTCGTGTTTGTGTTCTCCCCTACACCGATCCTAGGCTGCAACTCCCTTCCTTCATCATGTGTTCTGTTTTTGCCATGTTGAGCACTGTTTCCTCGCAAGAGAAGACAGAGAAAAAGTAGGAATTGAGCAATTCTGCACTCTCTTCATCTCCTGTTACAATTTTACTTTCCTGTCCCCACAATGGGCCTACCTAAACAGATCCAAAGTACTATCTCAATATTATATTGCCATTTTTCACCATGGCCAGACTTAGAGCTCAATGCAACTGTGTACTGCATACCAAATTTTGGAAGTGTCCTATTTTCTACTGTGACCAGTGCTGTTTGGAAGGATGCTGTTCTGGTAAAGAGGTGCAGGAGTCCTTAATCAACACTCAGGGGAGACTGATTTCAGATAAAACATTTCTTTTTTGAGAATTGAACTATAAATGTCTCAGATTGCCAGCTGAGAAGAAATTAGTTTCCCTTACCTCAAAGCACGGACAGAGAAATAGGCAGTATGAAGAAAACCTGTCAGGAAAGGGCAAGATAGCTATTTGGATGTCCTGAGTTAGACCATAAAGGTTTGGGATATGTGCCTTAATGGTACTGGAGAAAGGGTGCAGAGACTCCAAATGTCATGACAGGGCAAAGAGAAACCCTCCCAGCTAGGATAGAAAGGGTTAAAAAGGTCTGGATACCCTGTCAGAAATGTGCAAGCTAGAGAACTGGGAGTAGTCTGTTTTGACCAGCCTCTATTTTTCAAGGTTCCAAAGGGCTTGGATCCATTCCAGGAAAGAGAATGCTGTGTCTGTAACTTAACCTCACATGTTTCTCTTTCTTCTAGTTCTTAATACCCTGTAGCGTTTTGATATAATTTTCCAGTGTCCTTGTGCTCTAGTGAATTGAGATTGTCTTTTGGCAAATAAATATCTTTTTCCTTTTCAAGATCTCAGACTGTGGTCAAAGAGCTCACCCAGGGCATCGGGCTGCTCATATGTGCAACTGACCAGAAACACCTGACTGGACTACAGGGAGGAAGATGTGTGTGAAGCGGTACACACACACATATGCACGTAGCCCCCATCTGTACCTCAAACAATGGACAGAGAAATAAAGTGCAGAGGCTGGGTGGTAGTAGTGGCAACTGAAGTATGGAGAGTGAGAAGGGAGGGCTGGGGGGGGAGATGAAGCCCTCTCGTGGGTGCAGGTTCTCCTCTGCCTCTCAGGCAAAGACAGTGAGAAGGAAGGGGAAGGGAGAACCCTTGTTACAAATGCCTCGTAATTAATTCTGGAAAATGTATGTAATGCCTTAAATGTAAACATTGTCTTGCTAAAATGTTTATTTCTCAGTCTTCTTTCAGATGAATTATGGTAAATCCCAACTGACCAGTATGGGCTAAACTGTTATAATCCTTAATATAATCCTTTATCCTAAATAAATACTGAAAATGGTTCATGCCAAAGTCTTACTTGATGTTTTAGAAGAAACAGATGAAGCTGCAGAATCATGAGAGCCAGATCGTTCTCTTTTGACAGGGCTTCTTTTTTCTGAAGTGGAGCCTGTTCCAGGAGATAAAGGGAAAGACTTTATTTACCTGACATTACCTGACATTATTTACAGGTTGGAGCTGAATTGTTCATCCCTTTAACAACCTACTCTGAAGTTTCAATGAAATTTTCTGAAAATGGCCTTGTTCGATCTTACTTAGGCACCTGACATTATTTACAGGTTGGAGCTGAATTGTCCATCCCTTTAACAACCTGCTCTGAAGTTTCAATGAAATTTTCTGAAAATGGCCTTGTTCGATCTTACTTAGGCACCTGACATTATTTAAAGGTTGGAGCTGAATTGTCCATCCCTTTAACAACCTGCTCTGAAGTTTCAATGAAATTGTAAGTGTTAGAACATTTATCGTTTCATTATGAAACTTATGTAGGTGTATTTACCAGCTCCGAAACCAATCTAGTTGGATTTCTAGTGTTCCTTAAGGCCCAGCATTGGGAAAGTTTAATTAACCTTTTTAGCTGCAATTCCTAATTTCTCCTAGTCCACCAAAAGGGTCCTAAAGTCCACCTGTATCTCCTCCACCAGAATACAGCAAAAATTGATAGAATGGTACAACAAGGGCTCACTTTCTTTCTTTTTTTTTTAAAGAATTTATTTATACTTTTTCCAACAAACAAACAAACAAAAAATAAAAATCCAAGTACATTCCCATTGTACAAATCAGTTTCGGAGTGTTCATTCTACATTTTTTTCAAACCATTTATACACTTTAAACCATCTTTTCTTATAAGCGTTATCATCTCTCTCTGCTAATATCATATTTAATCTGTCCATTTCTGCTATTTCGAATATTTTTTCCATTATTTCTTCTTTTTTAGGTAGTAAATCTGATTTCCATTTTTTCGCTATCAGAATTCTGCTTAACGTGAGGATATATAACACAATACATTTATCATCTGTATTTACTATATCTGGCAAGATATTAAGCAAGTAACTTTCCGGTTTAAGCTGCAGATCTATTCCTACAATTTCTTTTATCAAATATTTTACCATTTTCCAAAATTTTACTATTTTGTCACACCTCCACCAGATATGATAGTATGTTCCTACGTTATTATTACATCTCCAGCATGTATCCGAGACATTTTTATAACATTTTGTTATTTTATCCGGTGACCAGTGCCACCTGTAAAACATTTTTAGGATATTCTCTTTGTATGGTGTGGCTCTTACTAATTTTTTCGTTTCCCACATTTTTTCCCATTCTTGCGTTTTTATTGTGTAGCCTACATTTTGTTCCCAGGTGTTCATGCAGGGTTTTATCGAATGTTTTTAATTCTTTTTCTTTGGTTAATAACTTTTCATAGGTTGCTTTTTTTCCCTCTGTTAGTAAAGCTGGCAATATAAAGGCTTCGAGTGGTGACACCCACATTGGTACTTCTTTGTACATTTTTTCTTTAATTTTCTTCCAAATCTTAATCAATGCCCCTCTTATAATATGGTTATTGAAGTTTTTATGCACTTTTTCCTTATCGTACCAAATGTAGGCGTGCCAACCCATATACAGATCATGGCCCTCTAGTTGTAGTAGTTTTTTATCTTCTAAGAGTATCCATTCCCGTATCCATCCCATTGCTGCTGCTTGATAGTAAATCTTCCAGTCTGGCATACCGCATCCTCCTCTTTCTTTTCTATCTTTCAAAAATTTCCATCTTATTCGCGCTTTTTTACCTTGCCATACGAATCTTCTTGTCATGCGATCTAGTTCTTCAAAAAAGTTTTCATTTTTCAAGACCGGGATACATTGCGCAAAGAATAAAAATCTCGGGAGGATGCTCATTTTGATAGTAGCTATTCTTCCCAACAATGAGATGTGTAGATCTTGCCATTTTTCAAGATCTTTCTTGATCTCCTCTAGAAGTACTTTGTAGTTATTATCATAGAGGTTCAGATTGTTATTTGTAATGTTAATGCCTAGATATTTTACCTTTTTTACCACTTCTATATTGGATATCCGGTACAGGTTTTCTACCTCTGTTTTATTACAATTTTTTGTTATTATTTTCGTCTTTCCTAAATTTATTTTGAGACCTGCTTTTTCCCCATATATTTTTATAGTATTGAGTAAATGTCCAATCGAAGTTTTGGGGTCCTCCAGAATAAACACCAGATCATCCGCAAATGCTAGAAGTTTATATTGTTCACCTTTTATCTTGAGACCTGTTATTTCTATGTTATCCCTCACCATGTCATTTAAAGTTTCAATACCGAATATGAATAGTAACGGGGAGAGTGGGCAGCCTTGTCTTGTTCCCTTCTGTATCGGAACATTTTGTGTTAAATCTCCATTCACAATTATCCTTGCCCATTGTTCTTTATATATGGCATTTATCAAAGTCTGGAAATTGTCGCCACACTCCCATTGCTTTAACTTGTTTTTCAAGAAGTCCCAGTTTACGTTGTCAAATGCTTTTTCTGCATCTAGAAAAACCATTGCCATTTGACTTCCTGGGTGTTGTTCATAATACTCTATTATATCCACTATTATTCTCAAATTGTTCTTTATTTGACGTTTTGGTAGGAATCCTGATTGGTCTCTGTTTATTACTTGTGTTAGTACTTTTTTTAACCTTGATGCTAATATTGTTGCAAAGATCTTGTAATCCACGTTTAGGAGTGATATAGGCCTATAGTTTTTTATCTCATTTACTTCTGTCTTTGGTTTGGGAATTAAAGATATTAATGCTTCATTCCATGATGTGGGTAAATCTCCTGTTTTCATCGCATTTTGGATCATATCTTTAAATATTGGGTTTATTTCATGCTCTAATTTTTGATAAACTTCTGCCGGAATGCCATCTGGTCCTGGAGTTTTCTTCTTCTTTTGTTTTTTAATCGCCTCTACAATATCACAGGTTGTGAATGGTTCATTTAGAATTTTTCTTTGTTCTTCGTTGAATTTCTTTGTATTATGATTTTCAAGGAATTCTTTAATTTCCTTCTTGTCTGTCGCTGATTGGCTATAAAGTTTTTTATAGAAGTCTTCGACAATATTTTTCAGATCTTGGTGATTGTGTTTTATTTCTTGGTTTACATTCTTTAAACTCGAGATAGTCCTTTTTTCTTTCTCTTTCCTAAGTTTGTAGGCTAACCAGCGTGTTGGTTTGTTCGCGTTCTCAAAATAATACGCTTTGGTATATTCAATTTGGTTAGCTATTTCCTGTGTTAATATTAAGTTTATTTGGTGTTGGATGTGTTTTATCTTAATTTTTGTTTCCTCCACAACTCCTTTGGTTTTCCCTTTTGCTTCTTCCACTTTCAGCTCTTTTGTCAGTTTTTTGAGATTTTCACGTTTTAGCTTTCCTTTCCATGCTTGGTATCTTATAAATATGCCTCTCACGACTGCTTTCAGAGTGTCCCAAATGATAGATAACGGCATATTTTCTGTTCTATTAGTATTTATAAATTCCTTTATTTCTTTCTTGATTTCTCTTACAAATTTTTTATCTCTTAGCATTCCAGTATTTAATCTCCATCTTGGTTTTTTTTGTGGTTCCTGTAGTGTTAACCACATTGGGTTATGATCTGCAAATGTGTTAGGGAGAATTTCGGTTTCTAGCACATCCTTCGCCATACCTATAGTTATCCACAAGGGCTCACTTTCAACTGAGAAAACCTGGCTTGGTAGATGCAATTGGGAACTGAGAAATAAGGGGAATTTCATTTTTTCCCCACCTGTCATACTCCAAACCTTCAGTGGCTATTAGTGTTCCCTCTAAGCTGAGTTACTGTGAGCTAGCTCACAGTTTTTTAGCCTCTGGCGCACACATTTTTGTCTCTGCTCAGGAAGGATGGCTCCGGAGCAAACCAATTTATGCAGCAACCAAATTTCTTGCTCACAACTTTAATGCCAGTAGCTCACAAAGTAGAATTTTTGCTCACAAGACTCCACAGCTTAGAGGGAACATTGGTGGCTATCCCACCCAAACGAATTTAAAATTCATGGAAATGTGCATACCTTGTGGGGGGCACAGATGGATTTTTTAATCCTATCCTTCCTGCTCTGGGGTGGCTTATAAAGTTCTACCCTCCATTTTATCCTTAAAACAACTCAGTGAAAGTTAGGTCCTAGTGACTGGACCAAGACTGCCCACTGAGCTTCATGGAAGAGCAGGGATTTGAATTCAAGTTTCCATAGTTCTAGACCTCCATTCTCCAGTTGTCCGGGGTGGGTCAGTCCTCACATCTGGGAGACGGCAGAGTCGCAATAGCTTCCTGTGATTCCCAGAAGGGAGGGGCTTATTTCCAGTTATCCAGTCTTTTCACCCTGCCTAAGGCAGCAGGACGCCATCTGCAGTGCTCTGGAAAGCACAGCAATTTCTGGTCCCTTCTTCTCTGTTTTTTGTTTTAGTTTGTTGTTTTCTCGGGGACCAGGTTCCAGGGGTCCCTTTCTCTGGGCCAGGGCAGCCTGCTAGGAGCGGGGAAGGGCTACATCCCCCCTTTCCCCGAGCCCACTCTGCATCTGCCATGGCCAGAGGACTTGGGAGCTCAGCAGTGGCCAGAGTCTACCACAGCCCTTGTGTCTCCTAGGTGACCCATAGATGTGGGGCTCCAGCACAGCGCCAGGGGCTTCCCCTGCCACCCAGGAGAGAAAAGCAACGGTGGCTACGGAGGAGAAGTGCCAAGCAGGCAGAGAGCTTTGGCAGGATCTACAAGGGCGGCTCGGCTCCCATGTGACTCCCAGCATTCCTGGATGGTCCGGCATATGCACAGCTGCCCTCAGTTGCGAGACAGCCTCCCCCAACTCTTCTGAAGCATGGTAAGGCTTATCTCCCCTGGCTTCTTTCCTAGGCTGTTTTGTGGGGCAAGGAGGACCTTTGTTCTTCGTTTGTGGTTTGAGCGGAAAATAGAAGCAAAGGCAGGACTCTCATCAGATCAGCCCCTTGAGAGTATTGCTTCCGGGATAGACCTCCCTAACTCCCAGTTGGATACCTCCGACCCAGGGTCCCACCAGGAATATGAGAGGGACATGGTTACTACGCCTGACCTTGCA